TTTATAATAAGCCCCCCCCCCCCACACACACACACACATTTAAGCCATTATAGGGGACATTTTAAATGTAAGGGATCCCTAGCATGTTTGTCTGCAAAATGTGCTGATACAGTATGACTTTTCAGACCCTTGCATGTGTTTCTAATATGTTCTTCTTCTTCTTCAAATGCAATGCTATTATTGTTGTGCCAATAAACTGCATAAAGCTGGTACATTCCATAGGGTAAACCCACCTTCTGAATTACATGCAATGCACCGGTCAATCTACATAATTACATAGTATTTGAGGTTGAATAAAGACATAAGTCCATCAAGTCCAACCTATTGTGTGCGTGTGTGTGTATAGGTCCCTTAGTCATCTAATTCTTAAGAGTACCTGTACCCCTATACTTTACGTTCTCTCAGGAAATCGTCCAAAAGCTTCTTGAATGATTCCACACTATTTGCTGAAATCACTGTTTTGTCAGCGAGTTTCAGACCCTAACCGCTCGAACTGAGAAGAAGCCCCTTCACCCCTTGTGTTGGAATTTTTTTTCTACCAATTTTAGGTGGTGGCCTCCTAGTCTTTGTTATGGAATTAATCTTAAAGGGTTTGCTGCTAATGTTGCTATGACCATTGAACATCTTGTACATGAAAATCAGGTCCCCCCTTAATCTCCTTCCAGCGTGAACATATTTAAATTTAGTAGCTTTGTCTCATAGTTCTGGTCCTCCATCCCCTTGATGACTTTGGTTGCCCTCCGCTGGACTCTCTCCAGCTCAAGGACATCCTTTCTGTGTCCTCAAGGGCCCAAAAGTGCACCGCATACTCCAGGTGAGGCCGAACCTGTGATGTGTAAAGTGGCAAAATTATAGACTTGTCCCTGCAAAACATTCTCTTCTTGATCCAGGACATGATTCTACTAGCTTTGCTTACAGCAACCTGGCACTGTAATCTATTATTCAGTTTATGGTCTACAATGACCCCCAAATCTTTCTCCATTTCCGACTTCCCCAGTGGCATACCCATAATTGTATAACCTATTTGCTTATTTTTAATCCCAAAGTGCATAACTTTGCATTTATCGACATTAAACCTTATCTGTCATATAGTTGCCCACTCCCCTATTTTGTCCAGGTCATCCTGCAATGTTATACTATCTTGGTCCGTTTCTATTACCCTCCCAATTTTGGTATCGTCAGCAAACACTGAGATATCGCTGTTCCCGATGTCGTTAATAAACAGGTTAAATAGCATGGGTCCCAGCACAGAACCCTGAGACACACCGCTAATGACACTAGCCTAGTCTGAAAGGGCACCATTTATTGATACTCTCTGTACCCTTTCCTTTAGCCCAGTGGTCCCCAATCCCCGGGCCGCGGACCGGTATCGGTCCGTGGATCAAATGGTACCGGGCCGCCCAAGGAACCAGGGTCGGACTGACCATTCGGTCAGTCGGGCACTGCCCAAGGGCCCGGGGCCACGAAGGGGCCCATCACCGACCCGTGTTCCTTTTCGCTGTTTTCCAGCCTTTAATCAGCATATTTTCTTCCTGGGCCCACCAGACCCTGCCGCCGCCACTTTAACACAGCACAGTCTGATAGTATGACAGTGACGGCTGGGCAGGGCCTGCCTTTAGCTGCTCTTTGATTGGCTGCTGCTCCCTCGGTTCAGCTCCTGGATTGTCTGGCGGGCTGCATGATTAGGTCATTCGATCTGTCCTGCACACACAAGACTGGAATGGTGTGTTGTATCAGATCGGTGCAGGGATGGAAGGTGTATGTTTACATGGGGGAAAGATGGAGATCACCAGCACTCATTTTTTTACTAGGAGACAGTCGGCTCTGTGTTCCGTGTAAGGAGAAGGGGGGGGAGGGGGAACGGCTCCTTGTATGAGGAACAATAAACAAACTTAGATAAGCCGAGCACTAGGAGAAGAACTAAAAGGAGAGAGGGGAAAGGGCTTTGAATGTCAAGGAGAGATGAACAAACAGCAAAGAACAGTAGGGCAAAACCACAATATATAAAGGCAGAGCAAGGTAGATGACTGTATACAATGGCAAATAAAAAGATCACAAATGTAATTTCATGATAAAATATAACAAATTAAGTACAATACATCATATTATCCGTTAGTATGCAAGCCAGAAAAGCAAACTACCTGTTATATCGCCTTGCTTTGCATACATCCAAGCTATTTTGAAGGCATGTTTAAATACAATTAAATTAAAATTATTAAATCAAAACAATCTAAAATATAAACAATCAACGTCCCCCCTCAGCGGGCCGCAGTAAAATTATCAAACGTTGACCGGTCCGCCTTGGGGAGCACTGCTTTAGCCAGTTCTCTATCCATGTACACACCCTTCCATCTATGCCCATAGACCTCAGCTTGTATAGTAAGCATTTATGAGGTACCGTATCAAAAGCCTTTGAGAAATCCAGATATACCACATCCACAGACCTCCCTCCATCCAGATCTCTACTTACCCCCTCGTAAAAAGTCAGTAGGTTAGTCTGGGAGGAACAGTCTTTCCTAAACCCATGCTGATTGTCATTAACTATACCATTATCCTGAACAAATTCTACCAAGTAGTCCTTAATCATTCCCTCTAACAGTTTACAAACTACCGATGTAAGACTAACTGGTCTGTAATTCCCAGGTTGGCATCTTGACTACCGTAGCCCTCCGCCAGTCACTTGGAACTCTACCAGTCATTAGAGAGTCCTTAAAAATGAGGAATAATGGTCTTGTTATAACCTCGCTTAGTTCCTTCAGTATCTTGGGGTGCAGGTTATCTGGTCCCAATACTTTATTTGC